ATCCACATAGCAAGTATGTTACTTTCCCTGATAACTGGCTTTGTACTCACTATGGCAGCACTGGCCCTTTAAAGAAAACTGTAAGGCTAGAATTCAGTCCCTACAGAAAAATAAGGTTTTTATTGAAAAGGTAACTGTTGCTAAGGAACCTGGTCCCTCCGTTAAAAAATGTGTATTGCCTACCTGGATAAAAATAAGTTTAATTCGCCATTTGCATCACTACAATGGACCCAAACTTGTTTGGGTTCCTAAGTCTAATGCTTGGTTCTCTTGTGCATGGAGTAGTGAAAGGAAGTAACCAAAAATGGTACATGGATAGTGGTTGTTCTGAGCACATGACTGGAAGCATCGATGATTTCCTTTCACTCAAGGCCCTGCAAAGAGGGAGTGTGTCCTTTTGCAATGGCAAAAAGGGATACATTTTGGGAGTAGGAAGAATTGGGAAGTCACTCACTCACTCAATTGAAAATGTGTACTATGTGAATGGCTTGAAATATAGCCTACTGAGTGTTTTCCAAATATGTGACAAAGGAAACAAAGTAGAATTTGTGTCAAAAGTATGCACAGTCACAAATCTTGTGACTAGTGAAGTGGTCTTGATGGCAAAAAGATACAAAAACATTTATGTTGCTGATTTTGAGTCCTTGAAAAATGGGGATCTCACATGTCTGAGCGTTGTTGATGATGATGTTGAACTATGGCATAGAAGATTGGGTCATGCAAGTTTTACTTTGCTGAATAAATTGGTCAAGAAGGGACTTGTTCGTGGCCTACCTAATTCAAGCTTCAAAGATCACAAGGTGTGTGATGCATGTGTAAAAGGAAAGCAAGCCAGGTCCTCCTTCAAGCCCAAAAAGAAAGTCATCACCTCAAGGACACTTGATCTCCTCCATATGGATCTGTGTATACCTATGAGGGTGCTAAGTAGAGGAGGAAAGAAGTACATTTTTGTTATAGTGGATGACTATTCTAGATTCACCTGGACCTTGTTCTTCAGAACCAAAGATGAAACTTTTCCAGTGTTTGTTGCGTTTGTGAAGAAGATCCAGTGAATATGAGCCATAATGTTATGTGTATAAGATCTGATCACGGCACAGAGTTTGACAATGCAAAATTAGATGAATTTTGTGCTGAAAATGGCATAAGTCATAATTTTTCATCTCCAAGAACACCCAACAAAATGGTGTTGTGGAGAAGAAAAATAGGACTCTTGAAGACATGGCAAGGACAATGTTGATTGACAGTGGCGTTGCAAAAAGCTTCTAAACAGAAGTAGTTAACACTGCATGCTACTTGGTGAACAGGTGCATGATCGGGTCCCTTTTGAACAAAACCCCGTATGAACTGCTGAACGGGAGGAAACCCAAGCTAACATATTTAAGGACATTTGGCTAGAAATGTTTTGTCCTCAACAATGGTAAGGAAGCACTTGGAAAATTAGATGCTAAAAATAATGAAGGAATCTTTTTGGGCTATTCATCACAAAGCAAAGCCTACAAAGTCTATAACAAAAGAACTCAATGTATTGAGGAAAGCATACAGTGATCTTTTATGAATCACACCACCTATGTGGGAAAGATTCACATGATAATATTGATCAAGAAGGAGAGCAATCAACAGTTCCTGGTGAAGTCATTGATATGGCAAATGGAAAGGCTCACATGATGAGTCACATCAAGGAATCAAATGATGATAATGCAGATGTATCTCCAGCTGATGTAGAGGAACCTGGTTCCTCCATCACAATAACTGAAGCTAAGAACAGAGTCGTTAATTCTGTGCAAGGAACCCAGATGCTGAGCTGAGAAGCGGGACTCAAGTCAACAATGGTTCACATTCAGAAGAACCTGGACCCTCTCACAATGAGTTTCTGGTGTCTAACTGGAAGCACAAAAGTTCACACCCTCTTCAGAATGTGATCACTCCTCTTGACACAAGGATTCAAACTAGACCAAAGTCAAGAAACTCACTTTCCTTCTCAGCATTTCTCTCTCAAATTGAGCCTAAAAACATCAAGGAAGCATTGAAAGATGCTGACTGGATTACTGCCATGCAAGATGAACTTCATCAATTTTAGAGGAATAGCGTGTGGCACCTGGTCACTCGACCAACTGACAGAACTGTCATAGGAACCAGGTGGGTATTCAGAAATAAACTTGATGAGTTTAGAAACATAACAAGGAACAAGGCAAGGTTAGTAGTTCAAGGCTACAATCAAGAAGAAGGGATCGACTATAATGAAACTTTTTCTCCAGTTGCTCAAATGGAAGCCATCAAAATTCTCATTGCCTTTGTATATCATATGGAATTCAAATTGTTCCAAATGGATGTCAAAAATGTATTTCTAAATGGTTTCCTAAAAGAAGAAGTCTTCGTCAAGCAACCTCCTGGATTCAAATATCATGAGCATCCTGAGCATGTTTTTAAACTTGACAAAGCTTTATATGGGCTAAAGCAGGCTCCTCGTGCATGGTATGAAAGAGTGTCAAACTTTCCCCTAGAAAATGGATTTACAAGAGAAAAAATCGACAACACCCTATTTCTAAAGAAACGGGGGAGGAACCTGCTCATTGTGCAGGTTTATGTTGACGACATTATTTTTGGTGCAACAAATGATTCTCTATATGAGGAGTTTGCAAAGCTCATGGGAAGTGAGTTTGGAATGAGTACGATGGGAGAATTAAATTTCTTCTTGGGTCTACAAGTTAAGTAAACTCCTAAGGGCACAATTATAATTCAATAGAAGTACATCAAAGATATTCTAAAAAGGTTTGAGATGGAAAGCTCAAAAGTCATTGATACTCCTATTGCCACTGCTACTCGTCTGGACCTAGATGAACCTGGTTCTCCTGTGAATGAGACCATGTACAGAGGCATCATTGGGTCACTCCTGTATCTTACAGGAAGCAAACCAGATATCGTATTCAGCGTAGGATTATGTGCTAGGTTTCAATCCAATCCAAAGGAATCTCATCTGAAGGATGCCAAGAGAATCCTGAGGCATCTCAAAGGAACACAGGACCTGGTTCTCTACTACCCCTCAGGAGAAAACTTTGACTTGATCGGGTATGCTGACGCTGATTATGCTAGTTATCTGGTGGATAGAAAAAACATGGCACACTTTCTGTGATCGTTTCTAATTTCATGGGGTACGAGGAAATGAAACTCAGTGGCTCTTTCAACTGCAGAAGGTGAATATGCGGCAGCTACCTCTTGTTGTGCTCAACTACTGTGGATCAAGCAGTAGTTAGAGGACTTTGGTGTATTTTATGAATGTGTGCCATTACTGTGTGACAACATCAGTGCTCTCAACATGGCAAAGAATCCAGTTCAGCACAAGAGAACAAAACACATTGATATGCGCCATCACTTTCTCAGAGATAATGTTGAAAAACGGCTTATCTGCATGAAGTTTTGTAGCACAGAAGATCAAATTGCAGATATCTTCACCAAAGCACTAAGTAGAGAGCATTTTGAAAGAAATCGATTGACACTGGGGTTGATGAAATCAAGTTGAGCACCTGGTCCCTTAATGATTGGCTATAAAAGAAATGAATAGGTAAAACAGCTAAAAGTATTTTCTGGCAAGCTCTAACTCATTTCTATACCGTTACAGGTAGACACACATGGCAATTACAGAGCACACAAGAAGCCAATGATATTGCATGTTGGTAAAAGGATGCGGATCACATTTATAAAAGTAGTCAGGGAACCTAGTTCCCGTGACACAGGTTAGTAGTTCCTTTGTACTCTCATGCACAACATTTTAACGGTTGAGAAAGTGCCACATCATTAAAATGTCAGTTTCTCCTTTTTCCCTTTTTAGAACCCAAGAGTTTTACCCGTTAGTAAGCGACCCGTCTACCCAGAAACATTAATACCCATTCCAACCGGTCCCTCACCCTCCTTAAATAAACCCAAAATGTGTCTTTATCACCACTGTTCACATCAAAAGCCAAAAAAAAAAACATTTTTCTCTCAAAACCAAATACTCCTTATTCTTACTACAAAACCCCACCATGTCTGAAAATCTAGAATCCTCAAATCTTTCACATGTCGTCCCCACTGTGTCTCCATCTCAAGAAGCACATGCAACAGAGTCTAAGTCTCCCATGTTATCTAATCCAAACCCCTAACAAGATTCTCAACTACCCTCTTCTTCTTCTCCAACCCAATCAAGTTCTGGTTCTCATCAGAGTCGCAAAACTTCGAACCCAAAGAGGTTTATGACTACGACCTCTCCCTCTGCCTCGCCGGAAAAAATAGTTGAGGGAGAAATAGTGGAGGAAGATGAAAATCAGGAAGTTTCTAGTCTGCAAATTAAAGAAAGCACTGAGGCACAACAGAGTGCGGTTTGTAGTGGTGAAGAATCAGCGCCGATTACCCCAAATCTTGACTTGAATGTTGCCAACCCTATAGGTAATACTCTTCACGTGCCCTTTGAATCTAATTTGGGGTTGAATGGACAAAAGGCCATAGAGAATATGTTGTTAATAGCTGTCGAGGGGAGTTTAGTTAGTAGTTATGAAGGTGATTCTGAAACCATTGGGTCTCAGATGGAAGGTGATAGTCTACAGGTAGAGGGTAGGGAACTGGTGCCTATTGAAAATCAGGCACCTGACACTACTACTGGGGAACCACATGAGGGACCTAATATCTCAGCCCAAGAGGAGCCCTCTGCTCCTACTTGGGATGAAACCCCATTATTCTTCAAAAGAACCCCAGGTCTGTACTGATCCCATTCCCTCTCCGTATTTTGATGATGAGCCATTAACCATTGTTGTTCCTAAGATGAAATATCTCTCTGAGGAAGAGAATGAGAATAGTGAGGAAGATTATGACAATATCTCTATTGCTAGTTTTATTGCTGCTAGAAGTAGTAGGGTAACTCCCAAAACGCTCACTCCTAAAATACCTACTACTAGGCTGCAAAAGAAGGAAGCTCTTGAATCAGTTCAAAAGAAAAATAAGGGGGGAAAAAAAGAAAGAAAAGGAGGTTGATGAAGGGTGAAAAGTTAGTAAATGAAGAGGTAGTTCCTCCACCACTTGTTGACATTGATGATGAGTTGAATGAGGAACCCAGTTCCTTAATTTGTAAGTCCTCTAAGAAACCTACTGTTCCAAAATCTAGGGAAGAGTCCTCTGTGAGAATGATGGAGTTTAGCAATGTTGAAGTGGAAAAGTCTAGTGAAAAGGTGGTTGAGGAGTATGGTAAGAAGGTGTCTGAGAAATCTGCAGAGAAAGGAAAATGTGTGAGAAAATCTGTGAAACGGAAGGCTGGTGCAAATGAGGAACCGGGTTCAACCAAGAAGGCCAAGGTGGGTGTGGCCAAGGATGAAAGAAGAGAAAATCTAAGAAACCAGAAAGTGATGTGGGGCAGAACATTTGCTCCTAATATTCTTGACATAATAGGGATGCACCAACTGGTTGACATCTGTGAATTTCAACAGTGAACACATTTGTTCACTACTGAGAGCCCTAAGGTGTATGAGGCAGAGTGCGCAGTTTCTATGCTGATATGTTCACTGTAGAAGATGACAACATATGTCTAAAGGTGAATGGTGTTGATTTTGTGATGAATGAGGTTGTGTTGGGCACAATTCTGGGAGTGCCTACTGGCGGCATATCATCTATTGAGGGGACTTACTCATCAAACTTCAGAAGTACTATTTTGAAGTATGATGCCGTACAACAGGGGGAACGGGTACACAAGAAGGCCCTCCTTCTCATGTACCAATTGTTGGTAAAGATGGTGAACAAGGTTTTTCTCCCTCGTACAGAAAGGCATTCCATTACGTCACGAGAAGACATGTTCCTTATGGAAGCACTGGATGCCTACTCCACTATAAATCTGCCGGGCATTATGATTGAGCACATGAAGAAAGTGGCAGATTTTAAGGATGGTAATCATGGGTTGCCCTACGGTTTTTTACTCACTAAGGTATTTGAGTTCTTTAAAGTTCCTTTGGGAAAGGCTACAGTGGGTACTCGCATGAAGACCTTCTCCAAGACCACTTTAGAAGAGTATGAGTGCATCGATAAGAAAGGAGGGGTTGGCAGAAATTCCACTATCTCTCAACTGATTGAAGCCCAGAACATTGCCAATGAAGAGATAAGGAAGTTGAAGGCACAGAATGTCATTCTTTAGGGACAGCTTAGTCAGGCCCAGGAGGCACCTGGTTCCAGCAGTACACAAGGCGCAGAGGTTGCCCGTCTGACCAAGGAAAATGTTGCACTCAGGAAACAGGTCGAGGACCTGAAGGAGAGGTTGCTTAATGAGCAAGTGTTAGCAAATGATCGAATGGATATTCTCCTCAGAACCCATGCTTCTTCCTCTCTGCCCCCCTTCCAGTGCTCCTTAAAATAGTTCCCTTCCCAGTGTCCAGTTCAAGTTGTCTATCCTCTGTTTTGGTCTTTTTGTTTTGATACGTTTTGTGGCTGATACTTTTTCTGTTATTTTATTTTGTGGATGTTTATGCAACAAATGGTACTACTAATTCTGCTCCCTGCATATTTCCAAATTAATGAATATCCCGTCCTTTTGCTATGAATGCCTTGCTCTTATGCTCTGTTCTTCGCCATGTTTGTGTGCACACATGTGGCATGAGTTACGCTTGCTAGACTTCTTTTTGCTTATTACTTGCGACTAATATTTTTATGATGCCAAAAGGGGAAAACGTAATTGAGGGGGAACAAGTTCAGGGGGAATACAGGAAATATTTATGGTACTCTAGTTCTGAGGGAGAATTTTAATTATAAGTTTGTCATCATCAAAAAAGGGGAAATTGATAGGTTATGAGTCCTGTTTTGTTTTGATGATCTAACAAACTTAAATGTTAAGAACCAGATAGGGAACCTGTTCTACATCCTCAAAGTTCTCAACATCAACAAGTCCCAAGTCTGGGACATGTTCCAACATTCATAGTCAAAGAAATAATAGAGGGAACAGATCGACATCAGTTCTCTAGCTAACAGTAACAGTCAATTTTCCACTGTTGTAAAGTGGCTACAGCTATTCCTCTGTACACACGCAACAATGCAAACAGTGGAGCAGTCACTTTATGGGGAATGCCCTTGTACCAAATATGCTTGCATCACTCAAGTGATATCACTTGTGTAATATTAACATGAAGCAAAGGAAAATCAACATTTGCACATTCCAGATTTCATCAAGCTCTCTCCAGTGTGTCGCGGACTTACAAGTGATTTCCAGGCTTTAAGAACAAAGAACAACATAACGAAGGACCAGTTTCCAGTATTGTATCATCACATGTCCCTAGTTATGTTGTACCTTTGTTAGTGTGATTTAATTGTAATTCTTGCTTAGCTTAGCTAGAAGCATCGTGTAGGAAACAAATTGTAAAATCATAAACCTCGTGTTTGTGTCTTGGCTAGAGTTAGTCGAGTTGTGCACTTTGTAATAGATTTATTACAAAGAGGCTTGTAATGTAGTTATTACAAGTGAGTGAGGGATTACAATTTTAATTCCTAGGTTACAATAGGTTGTAATCTGAACTTTCTCGGTTAGTGAAGTTGATATCCTACAAGTGTAGGTCGTGGTTTTTAATCCCGTGAGCTGGGAGTTTTTCACGTAAAACTCTGTCGTATCATTTACTTATATCTTTATGTATGTTCTGTAGGAACCGATAGAGAACCCGGTTCTCTATACAGTTTTGTGGACCCTCAGTTTCTATCAGAAGTAAAGATATAGACGACAAAAATCATGGTCATGATTACTTAGAGAACTGGTGAAAATATTGTTGAATCGTAGGGCAACAGAAGACGTGTGTCCTTTCAAGCATCAGAAACTGTTCAGGAACTTTCCCGCCAATAAAGGGATCTTCACCAACTTCCCTATAACACAAAGATGTGTCACCGAAAAGTAGTGGGACTATCTGTATATGGTAACATTGGCTTATAATAAATTGTTGAATAATAGCATGACATGTGGAACCGAAAAAAGGCAAAAGGCGATCTAGTAACAACAAGTACCAGGGACAAACGCTGCAACTGACATCGGATAGACTCCGAAGGGAACATATTCAATGGGAGGAGATTGAATATTTGTCATCGGATAGCATTCAATGAAGAATATTCTCTAACATTAAATGGCAGTCGTTGCAGCGAATATTTACATTCATGGCATGGCGTTACATATTTATCAATGACTCCTTTATTATCACTTAAGTAGGGCTTGATCCTAGGATCTTGTTTCCCTAGGTATAGCTACAGATAGCAGGCTCAACAGCTATTTTAAAAAAAGAAAATTCTTGGCAGAACTTATGTTCCACTTTCACTCTCAATTAAAACAACTTTATTTGCTTTTTTACATTGTTCTCATTTTTGTACTCGAAGACGTTGTTCTCGGAGTCATGCTTGTCATTTTCTTCAATTTTAATCGCTAAGTCTTACTTTTAATCTTGTTTGTTTACCATTTTTGGATCAAATCAGTTCGATTGTCTATAAACCATATAATAAATTCAACTGTATCGTTTTACGGATAAACAATATTATGTTTCCTCTACTCAATATATGGAGAGGCAACCCAAACACTACGTCTATTGATTTCAAGTGGAAGCATATAATGACATTACTTCATCTTCCACCAAGGTATTATTATTGCCTTGTGATTGAACCCAATACATGTGGTTATTATTTGGTTGACACATGCAGCGAGAAACTCTTCCTTTCCTTCTCCACTTCTGTATGATATAAAATATTTTGAGCAAAAATTAATTAATATTCTGGCGAAATTATTTTCTTAATTGTGCATCCTGAAATTGAAGAATTACAATGCACAGAAAAACATCTTAATTATGTCGGACAATGGGCATAAATGGCATCTCACTCTTGTCTTTAATGGAATTTTCTCTTTGTGATATGGCAATATATGATTTTAATGAAGTGCAGAATTTTCAATTTGACACTCGTTGGGTTCTCACGGAGTTCTATCTCCTTTACTTCTCATATCAATTGTTCCTAAAAATCCCCAAAAGAAATGGTCGTTTGGTTCATGAAACCCCAAATTTATTGTTCCCTAGTCATGACTATCTTCCCATACCACCTTTTGCATCCAATTCCTTGGTTACGTGAAAATCGTTGTTTTTCGTCTTTCTAATTGTTACTTGCATTGCAACTTACTCTTTTCCTGCCTTTTTTCTAATTGTTGAGGGGAAAATATGGGGAAGTCCCACACAAGTATATTATTTACACAATCTTCAAAACGTGAACATCACATCTAGGAGACCATGATGAGAAAGTTCATGTTTTCTTGCCCTCCAAGGGAAACAAACATGCAAATTAAAGAAACTAGTTCCTTATGTATGGGGATTGAACCTTGGTCGTGTACCATGGAAGAAGGATACTATTTTTTCACTAGGAAGTTGGTGATTTTAGATTTTAGATTTTTATTTTCTTATTTATACTTTTTAACTGTATTTTTGTGCGAAATTACCGTCTGACTCCGGTCAATTTTTAATTAAATGAGTTGGCCAAAAATATTGATCGATTTCGGTTATTTTTTTAAATTTTAATTTTAATTTATTTTAAATAGAAATCATATCAAAGTTGATCAGAATCTTGAAAAATAAATTTTTATTACCAACCGAATCGCTCGAACAATAATCTTTCGTATTTTGGCGCAAAAAAACAAAGACAAAATTCGGTCGATTCCATAAAATAAATTATTTTCAAAAAACCAAACAACTTTGGTAGGTACTGTCGGTCGACTATTTCGGTCGGAAAAACGCATTTTTCAGTAGTGAGTGTAAGGTGATGGAATTTCCAAACTTAACGCCATATGCGTTCTAATTAAAATCGATGTATTATTAGGTTAATTAGATTAATCAAAACTAGGTAATTAGCTAGAAGAAGGGTTGACACTTTGTATAATGGAGGCGTTGTCCCTTTTTGATAAAAATTCAAAAATGTGTCTCTCACTGGCTAAGCCACATGGTCACAAGGGTAGTCAACTGACCACCCTTCGTCGAAAACTTGCATTGCGTATATAATAAAATATTATATTTTAAAAGTATATAACATATATTAAATACCCTTTATCAAGAATTATTTCTAATTATTTCAAATTTGAATGAATATACTTGAGAAAATTCTTAGTTTCACCGGTCGTGTCTCTCACAATTAAAGTGTAACGGAGAGATAAAAAGTCTAAGAAGTGGGTGGAATTAAAATATAAAATATGTTGGTAAGTGGTGGTGGGATCAGTAATTAATGTATGAGGTATGCAAAGGGATTCCCTCCTTTTACTTTGCATTTTTATATTGGCTTTGTGGGAAATAATAGAAAAATATTTACTCACTATATTCGGGGTAAAGGGTGAAAGTTATTTATAGCATGATTGTTCAAGTTTATCAAGAGGCTAAATGTGTTTTTTTTTTTCAAAAGTATTTTTTTTTTTTTGACTTGAGGTGTTTGACCAATTTTTTTTGGGGAAAAAAAGTATTTTTGGGAAGAAGCAAAAGCAGTTTTTGAGAAGCAGAAAAATGTAGCTTCTTCCCAAAAGCAGAATCAGAAGTATTTTTGACTTTTCTTCTTGCCAAAAATACCCTTAATAAAATATAGTATATACTAAAATAACCGTTAAACATAATACTTAGGATATTAATGTATAAATATTTCTTATTATTTTTAGGATAACTTTCTAATATATAGTGACTTTAGGGGTGAATGTTTTTATATTTGTTGAATGATTTTTAATATATTTAACTTATATTAAAAGAATTAAGTACTTTTAAATTTTATTTTTAAAAAGATTTAATTATTGTCTGTAATAACAAATTTTAAAGATTATTTATTTACTTATAATATTAACTATTAAGTAAATCTATTCATATCCTTATTCGTAATTTGATACTTAAAAATACTTTCTCAAAAGTTTGACCAAACACAAATTATTACTCAAAAGTGTTTTTTCAAAGTGATTAGCCAAAAATAAATTGCGTTTCTCCAAAAATATTTTTTTCAAAAGCACTTTTGAAAAAAGCACTTCTCAAAATAAGTTATTTCTTCTGCTTGGCCAAATAGGCTATTATAGTGTTGGTAGGAGAGAGGATGTTGTTTAGCTTTCCCAGCGTGGAAGTTTCTGTTGGAAAATCCACAAGCACAACCTAATGGTTCCATGCCCTACCA